TTACCCCTTTGTTGGTACAGTATGCTTTAAACTTATCAGAATCTGTGTTTTTAAAGGTATTTGATGCAGCTGGTAGTTTACTTTTTAGTATTGATGCGACAGTTGTGTAGTATGAAATTAGTTAGTTAGTTAAAGATTAGCCGGTATTCTCCCGGCCCGGGCCTTTTCCAAGTGGTGGCCCGGCCTTGGCTCCCTCTTTAGGGAGTGTCTGAGACCTAAGTCTCCCATGGGAGGAGGCACAAGTACCTCCACATCTTTGGGACCAACTGTCCCCAGGCCTAGCCACAAGCTAGCCCTCTCTGGTCTGCCATCCCCGCCCCAAGGGGGCAAATGGGAATGACAGTCTTATGAGCTAAAGGCTCGGGCTCAGGCACCTACCCTACCCTAGAAGGGTTAGGCATGGTGTCGATCCATTATGAAATAAAACAATTTGCCACTTTAGTTGTTTCGTGGCATACCTCATTATCGACATATAGTACTATGTTAGATCTATCTATGGATGTACATATGTCTCTAAGAGTATATTTGCTGAAAATTTTCCTTAATCCTATTTTTAGGGATTAATGAATCTTTGAGTGTTGGTAAATTGCTTATACGCAGCTTGAATGACATTCAGTATTATCGAAAGCCTTAGAACTTGCCTATTCGACAACATATATTTATTTGTGCTTACGCTAAAAGAATTAAAAGAAAACGCGTTATTCAGATATCCGAAGAAAACAAATATTTTTTGTATAACTATTTTATAAAGTCCTCGGATGATTCTGCAGATGATTTTGCTGGATTATAATTATTAACCGGAATACTTGGTATTCTAGGATAACCCGATGTAGTCAAGATGCCATCAGACTGTCTTATTTCCATTGGAGATCTTCAGAATACAATAGTAACAAGACAATAGTAACAACTAAATCCATCAGTGAGACATAAAAAAAAATCTTGTGAAACATAATGAAATGAACGTACATGTGATATTCATAACATTCCACATAAGATAGAGAGACATTTTTTATAACATGGTGAGAGGTGGGAACCATGGATCGCGAATAAATGTAACTTAATGTTGCTAAATATTTATATCAAAAGCAATCGAATGGCTTCTTCCCTCTCCAATAATTCAAACATTTCCCCATCCTTCTTCAAACAAGAAAATGTAGGACTCCTACTACAGGGGTTCTCTATGTCTTTTATAATTGTACAGTTTAATATCATTAGCGCTGGTTGTGAGTGGTAATTCTTACCTCTTCAACCCCAGCAATCATAAAAAAAAAGCGAATACATATACTTGAATTGTCAGTGTATCTGGAATCCGAAGATACTTTAATATTTATTAAAGGGGATGAGCATGACCAAGTCTTATTTGTTTTTTTTTTTTTTTTCTTTAATTCAAACTATTCTCCCCCTCCTTTTCCAAGAAATGGTGAGGCCTCCCTATCAGGGGTTCTCTATGTCTTAAATTGTACATGTTGGAAGGACATTACGCCTGATTTTGACGGGGTCCCAGCCTCCTTCTACCCCGCCATCACCTAGTAGGAGAACTATATATCTGCCATCTAGTAAAAGTGTCTCGTGAACGGCAGTTCTTATACTGGGATGAGCAAGTCAGCTATAGTCTTATTTAACTTCATCAGTTCTTAATCAGATATTTGTATAACCAATTGTTGAAGATTGAGACACTTATGCAACATATGGAAACATTTATTGAGGAAACGTTCAGCCACACAGTGGCTTCATCAGTCAAATATAAATCGGAGGGGACTGATTACCTTAAACTCCTCCTCTCCTTACACCTTTCTGCTTTGTATTGGACTGATGAAGCCACCTTGTGGCGAAACGTTTCCTCAATAAAAAATTCCATATGTTGCATAAGTGTCTCAATCTTCAACAAGTCGGTTTTTTAAACCATCTATCATAACCAGTTGTTAAAGCTTTCCAAGGAAAAAAAACCCTAAAAAGGTTAATGTATTTTATTGTTCTGTACTGGTGAACAGACATCTTGTTATTCAGGTGAAAGACCATAACCCAAATTAAAAGTGAAAATCCGTCTATCGTGTCGACCTGCCCTACAGGGATTAAAGGTAAAACATTGTGTCCTTGTAATGTTTGTAACTGCTTGACATAGCTTCAGTAGAGCGAAACGTTGCCACAATAAAATGTCACATTAATTGCACGTGTCTATTTACTTAACATCAAAATTTTACTTCCTCTGGGTAAATTTGTCTTATGTATGAGAGAAATACTTCCCTTACTAATATATTAAGTCACCTTTTCAATTTCTTTTATAATTCTTTATATTATAAAAACTGTAATTAGTTCATATATGTATTTATAAATCTATTTCATAGAAAGTACCGGCAATTAATTTTATCAACCAGTAGCCATCGTCGTTATAAATTGCATTTACTCCTATGTTATAGTCTTTACTCTTCTGATTACTAAGTCTGAGTTACCTGATATTATTTCTGGCCAGGTGAGACTGTTCAGGAACTTTTTTCCTCATCTGTACATCGCAATTATAGTGCATAATTATTCTTAGCTGATACGAAGCCTCTGATATCTACACTGATAATTTGACGGGCGCCATTTTGTTAGGTTTGAAGAATTTTGAAAATTCAAGATGAGTTCCAGAGTGGTAACCGATTGTTCATGAATACCCGAAGACATTTAGATCAACAGAAATATCCAGTAGCATAATGATTTACAATACCGACAAGTTGGTGAACAAGACAGGTATAACACCAGGGTATCTTTATTCACAAAATCAGAATTAAGATACACAGGTGTTGCACATGTGTCTCATTTATCATGACTATAGAGCATTTCAATATAATTTATTGCTGGCATAATATTTTTTTTTTAGAGAAAGCAAGTCATTTTTAATATTTTCATGCTGATAGTGATTTTGACAAGACTAAACTTATGCAAATCAGTTATCCAAGCTGGCTGTCATTTCTACATTAGTGTAATGGTTATAGACATTGAGGCACACTCGTCTTCTCAGCATCCCTAACATTAGGCAGGAAAAGGAAAAAGAACTAGACAACATTTCTAGTTTCGTTAAGCAAGCATTTATTTGGGTCAGATTCAGAGATTATTAACCTACCAGTTTACCATATACCTGCAGCAAGCATTCAAATGTACATATTTAATGCAATACAATTAGCAATAAATGTTATTCATTTGTAAACAAAGCAATACATATGATTTAGTCCAATATTACCAGTATATAGTTAATCATGCTAGTCCTATAATTTTTTAATATAAAAGCACAGACTTCTACTCGCAACTTTGATTACCTTTCCTACTGCCACAACATCGTCTTGAGAATAAAACAAGGGTCAAACTTCAAGTTATAAGTTGCCTCCTGACATTCTAACATTCAACTTTTTCCTAACACTAAATAAATAATTAAGATACTAATGAACTAAATCATCCATAATGATATCACAATCATCTTCGTCATCATTATCATCAATTTCCTCCTCTGCAACATTATCAGGATTTTCTTTGTCATACTTTTTAAACAAATATAAGATACTCCACATTTGCATCACACAGATCAAGATGAGCAGTGTACATCCACACCTTGGAGATGAGCATAGCTGATCACTGCTGCAGCTGCAGTGAATCAATTTCAGGTTCCCTTGTGGTGCAACCCGAACATTATTGAGTAGAAACACAACAGAATCTCGGCAAGCACATTTTTCTCCCACCTGAATCTCTCATGTTCATGACCTAGAGGTCCCTCATTTAAAATAGCCTTCCATATATGTGCCTATAATGTACTCTTTTAGCTTTTTCAGTGATGCCTCAGCAGTCGAAAGTAAAGTTTTGAGTTTTGGCTCTTTTTTGTCCTGTACTTGAGAGTCAGAATTGTATAAGATATCTGACAGTTTCTCCAGCCTCACTCTTCATACCTTAGCTCCAAATAAGGCTGTTGATGGTATATATTAAAAGCTTTTTCATTTAGGCTGAAGGATCTTCTAAACTTTTAAATTCATTTTCTGCTGCACAACATTTTTTCCAGCCTTAGTATTACTTATGCAACTCTGAGATGCCATATCATCAGAACCAGTGAGGGTATCAGGTGACAGCAGTTCTAAGCTCTGTGACACCTATGTTAACTGTCATCAAAATGCTAATTTGTAACCATGATGCTTCTGCGTTCTTGATAAGACATTCTTAGCTACATTCTTTACCACTATGTGATGATTACCATTCATGTACCAAATCTTTACTAACGCAGGAACATTATCATGTTAGGTATCATCTCAGCTTATTCTTATTAGTTTTTATTCACTAATCAATGAACTTTCGACATCAGTCATTATATCAGGCATCCGCTGCATGCAGAATACTGGTAGCTCCTTATAAACTTATCGGAGCTTGTTTACACTGGGACATGTTTAGGTGATCATATTTCCCGACTTAACGGACATTGGAATTTAAAGTTAAATAATTAAACCTCAAAACACACAGATTTTTTTTTATAATGGTGAAGATTCGATGCTCGACTCTTATTTTAATCCCAGGATCTGTAGTTGCAGATGTGTTTTAATTACATAAAAGAAAAGAAAAAACTAATTGTACGTGATAGAAATGATTTCATTTTCATCTAAATATACCATACCACGGGCGGGATTTGAACCCGCGGTCAGAGAGTCTCAAAACTCCAGACCGTCTCGTGGTGCCTATGCTAACCATTCTATGGTGTAGAAATACACCCAATTGGACGAATCTTATTAAGCTAGCTGGCCCAGTGGCTAACGCGACGGTCTGGAGTTTTGAGACTCTCTGACCGAGGGTTCAAATCCCGCCCGTGGTATGGTTTGTTTGCAATTGTGTCATCACGATTTCGTGAGTCATTTAAATATTTTTGCATTTCCTCATGAATGTTGCTTCCTCGATATTTACAGGCAGTAACAATGGTTCAGATATTTACCACATGTAGTAAGATTTCTTCAGGTATTACTTCGTTTTTGAAAGGAGTAAAAACGCCGGAATTCAAAAACGTTTATTAAAAGGAAAGCTATCACGGATTTTTCAGATTCCTGAAGAGTGATTGAGTTTACTCCCACTTCATTACCAACTTAGACACATAGACAAAATTCTGCTTCTATTAAACGCAGACCACAATGTTTAAATTTTAACAAAACAAAAAAAAATGGTTTTGTCATCCCAACTGTAGGATTATTATTAAATTTTTATTGAATTAAATTAGTATAACCGGAGAAAATTTAGTTGGTAAACATGTAAATACAGTCTTTCTGTAAATTAACGTAGTAAATGATATCTCACCTTTTTTTTTTACCACATAATGATAGTTTCACATGAATTCAGGGTGACCTAAGGAATGAGATACATTCTCCAGCACTTGTTCAACAGTATATGATTTGAGTTTTAGTCACAGAGACCTTGGAAAAGTGTGGAAGGAGGGCTGGATCCACACTCTGTGGCAGGGAGACCTTCCTTGTATAATGGTTCCCCGAGTTTATGGTTGGAGGGGCCGTAGTTACATACATACAACCTGCTGATACCACCCACAAAAGGGGAGTAGTACACGGCCCCGCAGCCTACCTCCCGCGTCTCACTTCTTATCATCTGTAAATCAAGAAAACAAGTCTTAAAAACAGTAATTCTTAATTCCCAAGTTGGGAGACTTTTCGGCTCATCCTGGGTAGATAATTGCCCAAGACTTAAAACTCCAGGACGATCTGAAATGTTTTGGAAATTTCTTCTAAAATTAATGAGGGAATTAGAAAATAAAGGTTATTTAAAGCACATAACATTTATTAACTTAATGCAGAGCACTTGCAAAATATGTTGTGTTAAGTGTTAGAGATAGTGGAAGTAGGAGAAAGTGTTGGAAAAAGTTATGGGCAGATCATGAGAATAAAACGGCTATTAGAAATGAAATGAAAGTGCAGCAGAAAGGAATGAAGATGCTAATGTAGATATCAGGGACTGACTGGGAGGAGGATAGCGGTAAGTAGGAAAAGGGATGGGGAGTTAAGCCTTAAATATACCTTGAAGCCTGCATGGAAAGTTAAGAGTGGAGCTAGCCTTAAGAGGTCGTGCAAGTATTACCTAGATAATGGATGGATCTTCGGTGTACAGCTCCCTCTCTACGTCATTTTCAGTTCGTTTTGTGCTAGGTGCATTATATTTTCCTCTTCGTCCGTGGTACCCTTTTTTTCCCCATCTTTTTTCTATCATCTCTTTATCTTTGTTATGATCACTTTCCTAGTTGTTCGAGATCTACAGAAATACCTATTGTCATATAATTCACTCCCTCACTGCCTCTTGTAAATATCATATTCATCAGTCATTTCCTTTTCATGTAGTCAGGTATGCGATTTCTTCCTATTCATTTCTTGTTTACATATCTGTCATTTTCCCATTGAACTCTAATATCTATCATTCACTTCTCAAGTTTTTTTTTTTTTTTTGCTCTTTCAAGACTGCAGTCATCACTGACTTATATTTCTTGTTCATTTGGTTCATGTCGTTGCTGCTTCTTGCTGCTTTTATAGCGGGTTATCTTGATAATATTTATTTCTGCAGAGTCTGCTTTAAGCATCTCTGCATAATATGTCTTCAGTCCCATTCACCATCTCACTTATTCTCGAGCATTTTAATTACAGCTGTCAATTTCTATTTATCATCTATATTTTTACAATTATTGACAGATAACCCCCAGTTATAGAGGAAGCCTTAGACTACGTTTTTGGTCCGTTCTGGATCATTATCAAGTCGCATCTTGATAATGGTTTAGAAGGGACCGATACATCGTCCAGAGTTACTTCTTTAATTGTGGAAATTTGCGAATTATTTCAGTCACATCATTGTGGCTTCTGTTTATCTTCTACAATTATTCTCCTAAACATTTTTATATTTCACAAATCACTGCTTAATTTCCTTCGTAAATCTCAGTTTTAATCCATCAAACATTAGCCGCCACTCTCTGCTTACCTCCACATTGTCCTCCTTTTATTAACCTTTGCGGGGTCTATAATCCTATTTATTCCTATTTAGTCTTTTCTCAATGAGCCAAGATCCAGACTACATGCTGGTTGCTCTCTGTTTCAACGGGATGGCTCTAGCTACCCCCGGCACGGACCTCTGGTTCACCACAGCACCGGTGATGGTGATCAAGACGCTTACGCGAATGAAACTGGATGAACATTTACGACTTCTGTTTCAAGAACTGTTTTACCAGGATTGTCTTCATCAGTCCAAAAGAAGAAGCAACTCTTGGTAATTTTTTTTCTTCTAATAATGCTAAAGTTTACATAAGCATCTTTGTCCACATATTGTTATCCATTGAACAGAATTTTTGTTGCAAGAAAGCGGTTTTGCCAGTTCTACTTACGCAGTGGAAATGTGTTGGAAAATAGTTTTGTAGGTGGGTTAGGGTTTGAAAACGACTTGCCCAGCATGGGCCAGTAAGTATGCTGCAGTGTTCCTTTTGTCTAATGTTCCTGGTTCATTACTAATAATATTTTTGGTGTAGTGCTCTTTTTTTACCATTAACATGGTCGCAAAATCATGTTCCTTTGCAGTTCCTGGTCTCTAATTTTATCCATTTTTTTCCTAACCTGGTTCGCAAATCAAATCTGATCATAATCTCGATTCGACTGTTCAAAATGCTGTTAATTCTATCCACACTCCTTTGATTAAAAACCTTCAGCCCTTATTTAACTTTAATTAATTGGGTGCTTTTTGTTGCTGAACATTTTATTTTCCTGACATCATTCACTGACAGTTTTATGTCCTTATCTCATCGTGATTTTATCATAATTACCAATTTCTTTTTAATTACCTCATCCATTAAAAGTTAAAAATTACCTTAGTTTATTGAACGCTACACTCTATTATTTTCCCTGCACTATTTCTTTCATCCGTTAATGAATTCACTAAACACTAGCTAATGTATGAATCATGGTTTATGTGGACGCTTTTCACTTTAAAACATTCGTTACTGGACAATAAACGTAATACTTTACTGGTACTCAATGAGCTTCCATAAACTCTTCCCTATCTGAAGCTTAATTGACCTTTTTAAATGGGCACTTGTCTTCTAATGTTTATCGTTCACGTATATTGCTTTAATTCCAAATGTGAAAACAAATGCACCACTGTTGTCTCTCATGTCTTTTTAAAATCGGTAATTTAAAACTTCAAAAATATAATCGTTAATTAGAGCTAAAAAGTCGTTGTAAATGATTACAGACCTGGTTGGTTCATTAATGAATATCGACAACAAAAACGATGATTAAGGCCGTTCGTAATATTGTTCCCACCAGTCAAGGAGACATTAATGAATAACAGAAAGATTAAAATAAACTTTTCATGTATACTATGTAAGGTATATACTTTTAAGAACGCATGTTAGGTTAGAGGTCACATAGACAAATAACCCCCATAAGGACACTGTAACTTATGACGACGATTCGGTCTGTCTTGGTTCATTTGTGTATTGTTCCAGTCGCGGTATTTCACGTTTAGTTCATTAAAAGGAAACTAGTAACTAATGTGACCTTTTATTACAGAAACTCCGCGAGTTTCATTGTTTTTATATAAGGGAGTCATATATGATGGGAACTCAGGACAAGGATATCACAAGAGTATGACTTTAGTCTTCGAGATATCTAAAAGTGAATCGGTGTACATCAGAAAGTTGTGGAGATTCCACTCACATCTTCACAAGTTGATATGATATGGAAAAAACGAATAAAATAAATGCTGGTTAAGCCGGATATCGAACCCGAGCCATTTAGCCAGGCTCCTGGGAACCAGGCTAAATGCGCTGGACTCAATTCCCGGCTGGTCGCAGTAATGTTATTTGTTTAAAACCACTTTGTTCTGTGGATGCATTAATATATGTATATACATACATACATAATATATATATATATATATTATATATATATATATATATATATATATATATATATATATATGTATGTATGTATATACATATATTAATGCATCCACAACAAAGTGGTTTTAACACAATAACATTACTGCGACCAGCCGGGAATTGAGTCCAGCGCATTATATATATATTATAAAATATTATATAATATATAAATAATATATATATATATTTATTATTATATATATATGTCGTGCCGAATAGGCAGTATACTTGCGATCTTGGCTTAAATAGCAACGCTCACCTTGCATAGAGGACAAGCGAAAAATTGTGATCAAAATTTTTGCCCAAAATATTCTTAACCTAATGAAAAAAATTATTCACTGTGTTCTTTAGTATTAAATTACTGTAAACAAATCTAAAGTATATTTAGTGGGTTAGGCTAAAAAAATTGTTCTTGTTAAATAAGGTTAGTAAGTTTTAAGATTTCTTTTGTGGAAAATATTTTTTTCATTAACATAATGAAAAAAAAATTCTTTAAAGGTATAAGAGAAATTTTTAGGAAGGACTTAATTTTAAATGATTCTTGCTAATTGACCAGTTTTAATATTCGGCACACATATTATATATATATATATATATATATTATATATATATATATATATATATATATATAATATATATATATATAAATATATATATATATAATATGTAGGAAGAGGGAAATTATTTCCCAGTAAAAGTAGGCCTTAGACAAGGATGTGTGATGTCACCGTGGTTGTTTAATATATTTATAGATGGGGTTGTAAGAGAAGTAAATGCGAGGGTCTTGGCAAGAGACGTGGAGTTAAAAGATAAAGAATCACACATAAAGTGGGAGTTATCACAGTTGCTCTTTGCTGATGACACTGTGCTCTTGGGAGATTCTGAAGAGAAGTTGCAGAGATTGGTGGATGAATTTGGTAGGGTGTGCAAAAGAAGAAAATTGAAAGTGAATACAGGAAAGAGTAAGGTTATGAGGATAACAAAAAGATTAGGTTTTACCTGGAGTTTACCTGGAGAGAGTTCCGGGGGTCAACGCCCCCGCGGCCCGGTCTGTGACCAGGCCTCCTGGTGGATCAGAGCCTGATCAACCAGGCAGGTGATGAAAGATTGGATATCAGATTGGAGGGAGAGAGTATGGAGGAGGTGAATGTATTCAGATATTTGGGAGTGGACGTGTCGGCGGATGGGTCTATGAAAGATGAGGTGAATCATAGAATTGATGAGGGGAAAAGGGTGAGTGGTGCACTTAGGAGTCTGTGGAGACAAAGAACTTTGTCCTTGGAGGCAAAGAGGGGAATGTATGAGAGTATAGTTTTACCAACGCTCTAATATGGGTGTGAAGCATGGGTGATGAATGTTGCAGCGAGGAGAAGGCTGGAGGCAGTGGAGATGTCATGTCTGAGAGCAATGTGTGGTGTGAATATAATGCAGAGAATTCGTAGTTTGGAAGTTAGGAGGAGGTGCGGGATTACCAAAACTGTTGTCCAGAGGGCTGAGGAAGGGTTGTTGAGGTGGTTCGGACATGTGGAGAGAATGGAGCGAAACAGAGTGACTTCAAGAATGTATCAGTCTGTAGTGGAAGGAAGGTGGGGTAGGGGTCGGCCTAGGAAAGGTTGGAGGGAGGGGGTAAAGGAGGTTTTGTGTGCGAGGGGCTTGGACTTCCAGCAGGCATGCGTGAGCGTGTTTGATAGGAGTGAATGGAGACAAATGGTTTTTAATATTTGACGTGCTGTTGGAGTGTGAGCAAAGTAAAATTTATGAAGGGGTTCAGGGAAACCGGCTGGCCGGACTTGAGTCCTGGAGATGGGAAGTACAGTGCCTGCACTCTGAAGGAGGGGTGTTAATGTTGCAGTTTAAAAACTGTAGTGTAAAGCACCCTTCTGGCAAGACAGTGATGGAGTGAATGATGGTGAAAGTTTTTCTTTTTCGGCCAGTGTGATAAATATATATATATATGTATATATATATATATATATATATATATATATATATATATATATAATATAATATATATATATATATATATATATATATATATATATATATATATATATATATATATATAATATATATATGTTATATGGCATAAACCTTGGTAATAAATACCGACAAGTTGGTTTAGAAAGACACGTAAGCAAACACTATGACATATTTATTAGAAAACCTTTCGGTCCTGGGACCTTGATCACTTCTAACATACAGATATAGAAAGACATTATATATATAGGCGGAGAGTGAGGCGTGACGCACGTGATCTGAGGAATGTCATAAGAACTTAAGAACATAAGAATGGAGGAACACTGTAGAAGGCCTACTGGCCCATGCGAGGCAGGTCCTTATCAAAACAACCTCTACCTATGATGAGGACTGGTAGACGATGAAATCATGTGACTCCTGTGTTGTTGGGTTGGTGGTGCTTAAGTATCACGTATGCCAATGTTTTTGAAATTTTGTAGTTTCCAGTGTTGCGTTCTATAGTGTCGGTGACGGCGATTAGTGAGGCATCTAGGCACCGTCGGCGTCTGAGGTCTGGTTCGATGAGAACGAGTTGTGCCTCATTCCATTTCATCAAATGCCCCGTGGAGTCTCTGTGGAGGACACAGGCGTACCTTACATCGTCTCTGTAAGAGGCATTTCGATGCTCATTCAGGCGGACTGCAAGATCTCTGCCTGTCTCGCCTACATATTTCTTGGGACAGAACCCACAGGGGATAGTGTAGACGCCTGCTGTAGAAGTTAGAGGTGTGGGGCTGCGTTTCGTAGTGAGGTCTTTGATAGATGATGTGTTTATGGTGGAAACGTTGATGTTACTCACAGCAAGTGCCCGGCGAGTATTCGTGGCAACATCACCACATGGGAGTACTATGAACTGTTTAGGGGCTGTTCCATGGGCGGTTTGTTGAGGATAGCTTGTGCCTTGAGTCTGCAATCTCGGATGAAGAAAGATGGGAACTGAAGACGTGTAAAGGCTTGTGTTATGTAAGTGCATTCTTCTTCTACAAAACAAGGGCTGGAGATGCGAAGAGCTCTCAAGAAGAAGCCAATGAGGACTCCTCTCTTAGTGCGGGTGTCTTGGTGTGAATAAAAGTGTATAAGATCGTCCTTGTTGGTAGGTTTTCTATACACTTTGAAGAGAAGTTTGTCACTGTCGGGAGATCTGCACAGTAGAACGTCGAGGAAAGGAAGTTTGCCATCATTTTCGAGTTCAAGTGTAAACTTTATTGATGGTTCAACTGCATTGATCTTGTTGAGAAGGGCCTGGATATTGAGACGTTTCGGATAGAAAACCAATACATCATCAACGTATCTTAGCCAGGTAACAGTGTTGGGAATGAGAAATTCAGCACCCTCATTCCCAACACCGTTACCTGGCTAAGATACGTTGATGATGTATTGGTTTTCTATCCGAGACGTATTCTACAGTGTTCCTCCATTCTTATGTTCTTATGACATTCCTCAGGCCACGTGCGTCACACCTCACTCTCCGCCTATATATATAATATCTTTATACCTCTGTATGTTAGAAGTGATCAAGGTCCCAGGATCGAAACGTCTTCTAATAAATATGTCATAGTGT